GAGGGAGAAGAGGACAACAAACGAGGGGCTGTGACAAACTGTTTCGTCGGAGTTTCACCGACTCATCAGGAGGCTGAACCCTATATATATATATTGTCACATCATATATATATAGAGAGAGAGAGAGAACAGCTCTTGACAGAATCTTGACATGTGTAATTCTTTCCTGCATCATGAGCCCATAGGGGGACACAGCCCAGGTCCTAAGAAGGACAAACGTGAAAGAAGATGCCTTCAAACCAGTGCTGGTCCTCGGATGGACCTGGGGACCTTCGACCGACCGGGAGCCAACCGGTCCGACCGGGCGGTTCACTGGCCTGGCAGGCCCCCCCAGTTCGATTTGGCGAACTCCTTTTGGGGGGTGGTACAAGAGATTTTTGGGCATCCCTGTCCCCGCCCAGCCTCTGGGAGGCCGCCCCCACCAGTGAAAAAAAAACGGGCCCTACCGGACCCCGTTTTCTTTTGAGAACGCGCGGCCAATCTCTGCCACCGATTGGCGCAGATCGACGGTGGAGATCGGCCGCACGTTTCCAAAAGAAAACGGGGGTCCGGTGGTCGATGTCGACCGCAGATCTGCTGATCTGCGGCTGAAATCGGACGCGTTTTGAAATGCGAATCGCGGCGTGGTTTTGCGCTGCCTCCGCCCCTCCGCCCCGCCTGCCCCATGCTACAGCAACATCACACAACGTTGACGTCGTGCCATTCAGCATGCACGTCGACGTCATGTGCTGCCACCACGTGACCAGTGCCAGCGCCCTGTCTCCAGCCCGCCATCGACCTCTCTCTGCAGCTGCTTCGCCCCGCCCGCCCGCTTCGTCGCAACCGCCCCCCATAGCCGCGAAGGTAATTTCACCAGCACCCCTCCTCCTCCTCCTCAGCACCCCTCCTCCTCCTCCTCCTCTTCTTCTTCTTCTTCTTCTTCTTCTTCTTCTTCTTCTTCTTCTTCTTCTTCTTCTTCTTCTTCTCCTCCTCCTCCTCTTCTTCTTTGTCTTCTTCTTCTCCTCCTCCTCCTCCTCCTCCGTCCTCTTCTTCTTCTTCTTCTCTTCCTCCTCCTTGTCCTCGCCCTCATCATCTTTTTCCCTCCTCCTCTTCTTCTTGTTCTCCTCCTCGTCCTCTTCTTCTTCATCTTTTTCCCTCCTCATCCTCTTCTTCTTCTTCTCCCCCTCCTCCTCCTCCTCCTCCTCCTCCTCCTCTTCTTCCTCCTCTTCTTCCTCCTCTTCTTCCTCCTCTTCTTCCTCCTCTTCTTCTTCTTCTTCCTCTTCCCCTTCTCTTCCTCCTCATCCTCATCATCTGTCTCCCTCCTCCTCCTCTTCTTCTTGTTCGTCTCCTCCTTTTCTTCTTCATCTTTTCCCCTCCTCCTCCTTCTCATCCTCTTCTTCTTCTCCTCCTACTGCTACTAATACCTCCCCATTGATCACGAGCCATAGCGGTAGCGATTTTTTCTTTTCTTTTTTCATCTCGGATTCTTCTTCTTCTTCTACTACTTATTCTCCTCCTCCTCCTCCTCCCCCTCATCCTCATCCTCTTCTCCTCCTCCTCCTCCTCCTACCTCCCCGTTGAGCCCAAGCCAGAGCGGTAGCGTTTTTTTTTTTTTTCCATGTCGGATTTTCTTCTTCTTCTTCTTCTTCTTCTTCTTCTTCTTCTTCTTCTTCTTCTTCTTCTTCTCCTCCTCCTCCTCCTCTTCTTCTTCTTCTCCTCCTCCTCCTCTGCTTCCCTCGCCATTGAGCCAGAGCCATAGCCATAGCGAGCGCAGTCGGATGCCGCCATAAAAAAACGTCTCCCCCCTTTTACCCCCCCCCCCAAGAAATTCCTGACTTTGCAAGTTTTATTGTGGAATCCGACAGATCTCAGCGAGCACAGTCGGATGCCGCAATCAGAAAAAAAAAAAGAAAAAAAAAAAAAATCTGGCCATTTTTGGGGGGCATGCGGTTTTGCCGGTTCACCCCCCCTGGGCCGGTCCGGCCCCAGTTGGACCGGGGCAGGTGATCCGGCCGGTTGCTGGCCCAGCCCTGCTTCAAACAGGCAGCATTCTGCTTAAGCATCTGGGTACAAGATGCTGTACCCTCATTTTATGGTACAGCCCTCGTCTTGGGGCCAAGCAGAGTGCCAGTGCCTGACATGTCAGTCCCACCAAACCGAAATTTTCTGCTTTCACCATCAGGTTATGGTAGATGTATGAACCTAAAACGAACGGTGGAAAAAGGGATGAAAATGTCAAAAAAAAGACCGACATACCGACCTTGTAAGAACGGAACTTCAACTTCACCTCCACCAACTCTCAAAACATTAGCTTTCAAATCAATCTGGCACTGGACATAACAAAGCAATTCACGCATTTTCAGAGAGGCGGATAGACTGCCAGAGTCAAAATGTGCTTCTTGGGGGAGGGGGTGGGGGCGGCCTGGAAGGGGGGGAAGAGAGGGGGGGCCGGGGGGGGGGGGGGGGGGGGGKKGSRGGSACTGRGGGGCAAGAAGCACCAATCTTGCTGTTGTGACTCGTGAGACTTTGATGTTTGAGGGCCAATCTCCTCGCTCATTCTCAGAGAAATTTGTTTGGCATCAAATAGCTCAGTCGGTACACCCATGGACTGTTGAAATAGAGATCTCAGTTCAAATCCAGATGGTCCCAGATGAATTAGATAACTATGCATTTACCTGGGGCCGGTCAGTTCAAAGATGACATCTCAAGGCCATTGCCCTTTCTCTTTTAGAAAAAAGGAACCCTTTATAGTTCGAACCGTGAAGGCCAATCTCCTCCATCACTGATGAACTTCATTTGGAGAACAAGAAATGAAATGATTCACAGAGTCTAAAGTCCCAGGTCACAGGCCCTAGTCCCAAGTCCCACTCCGAGGTCCATCAGTGGCTTCAGTCAGGAATACACTAGAAGAGCAGCCTTCAATCATACAAGAGTTTGGACGCCTAGGTAGGCTAGTTACGTAGGCCGTGGTGGGAAGTTCTTAAACACCGGTTATGGGTTCGAAAGTCTCTTCTCAGGCCGGCGCACCACATTGCAGCTAAGACAGCAGCTGTTTTTTGGCCAAGTGTCAATAAGTCCCGTCAAGCAGCCAGATCCAAGGGAAATTTATGAACTTCTGGAAACAAACAGCACACAGCAGCAAGGGGAATAACGAATAACGAGCAGAAGAAGTCTGGAAGGCGGAACAGCAAGTACAGACGTCCGGCAGTGCTTGGGCTTGAACACTTGGTGTTTTGCACCCAATGTGGAAGCCCTGCTGCGGTCTTGTGCGTTGGAGTGGCGACCACTGAGTACGGGAAAGTGTAGGGCCGAGTAGTCAATGGTGCTGGGCGCCATAGATGTAGTATGAGAGAGAGAGGAAGGACTGTGAGGTTGAGAGAAGCCTAAGTGTGTGTGTGGGGAGAGAGAGAGAGAGAGAGAGAGAGAGAGAGAGAGAGAGAGAGAGAGAGAGAGGGAGAGAGAGAGAGAGGGAGAGAGAAGAGAAGAGAAGAGAAGAGAAGAGAAGAGAGAAGAGAAGAGAAAAGAAGAGAAGAGAAAAGAAGAGAAGAGAGACTTACCTGCATGTTGAGTTAAGCAGCCATAGCCACTAGTGATGAAGGAGGCAACCAAGTTTTGTGCTAACTATTGAGAACCATCTGGGCTTCGCATCTGCTGTTTGTCTCATGCGAGTCTGGTGTGATGCGAGATTTGCGTTCAAGAAGTCCATGCATGGTGGTCTCATTGCAGAAAGAATAAATCAATCCATTTGAAAGAAGCTTGACATTGCTCCCATTTACCAGATAGGTTAAGCTTGCCAATCAGTTTCAATTTCCAATTCCAGACAACACTAGGGAGGAGTCATTTGGTGTTTTTTTTAGGTCCAGGCCCTGCTGGCCCTCTGTTGACCAGGAGCATGAACATAGCACTGGCGACGCATGACCTGCACCTAAGGCCAGTGGGTGCAACTTGTGCGCGAGTGTTGTCAATCAATCACCAATCAAAACACCATTTCCAATGCTCAGAAGTGAAGGACTGCACATGGTTCCCCATCTCTGTGTTCTTCAGTGAGAGCTGCCCACATAAATACGAGTTGTCCATTCGGCATGCAGTTGCGGAATAAAAAGAAAGCAAATTGACAGGCACTGACTTCTATACCCATTCATTCAAGAATGTTTACTTCGATAACACACCCTCCCCCCTTCCCCCCCCTCTCCCCTGCACACACACACACACACACAAAACACAGTCTGGCACAGTCATGCTTTTCTTTTTTGGTTGTGTATAGCAAACATAGCAGCCCACACAAACACAGACACACAATGGAGTGAGGAAAGGAGGAGAAGGGGGGGGGGGCAGGAAGAAGTTGGGGAGTGGATAAAGAAAGGCGAGAGAACTGGAGAGCTTCTCGGAAATACCAAAGTACTTACCTGATGTTTTCGCAACATGTCTAAGCCGAAAAGGAACTCAACATCAGGCTGATCAATAATGGTGAACGAACATGGATAGTAATTATTACCAAGCTGCAGACAGAACCAGACGCATACGCATGCATGGCGAGGTCAACAACATACATCAGTATTCCTGTTGCTGAGAAGGACACTTTCTTTTCCCAACTTGCAAGTCTTATTGAGAAAGCATTAGAGTCCTATGAACAACACTTCTGGGATTACTTTCTTTGACGGATAAAGGTGCACTTTGCCACACACGACAGAGAGCAGCCTTCGATAGAATTGACATGGGTAATTTACCTACTAGACATCACCTCTCCAGGAATTTGATTAGGCCGTATGTACATGGCGCTTTACCACTGTCCCTACTTTGTTTTTATGGTCATGCCATTTTCTTGGCACCACCTTGTGGTTTCTTCCCTGAGTTAGTGAACCAATCACATCACCAGTACTGAAGAAGCAGTGGCAGGTAGCAGTATCACACTCAGCTAAGTGGCTTGAAGAGGCTAAGTGAGGAGACCACCCTTCACCCGTATCCAACATATGGTGATTGTAGCTGGTATTTGGGACAACTTTCAATCTAAAAACGGCCATAATGACCATACATTCTATTCTGGGGAAGGTGGTAGTGCAGACAATGTACAGGCAGCTCTGTACTGAGAACGGAATCTGCTGAAGCCAATTGCATCAGGTTCCCAAAAAAAAGAAAAGAAACTCAGAGAGTGGAACAGGATGTACTTCCCCTGAATTGAACGTGCGGTCATTATCGCTGTCTCAAGACTGAAAGTCGACCAAAACACAGCTATAATAATTGTATGTTGTACTCGGGGGAAAGAGGTAGGCCTTTTCCACCAAATATGCTGCGTGAGTGACAAAGTAAGAGATTGCGCAAAACCATGCACATGTGCGCCAACAGGCCACCAAAATACACGAGGAGAGAGAGAGAGAGAGAGAGAGAGAGAGAGAGAGAGAGAGAGAGAGAGAGAGAGAGAGAGAGAGAGAGAGAGAGAGAGA